GTCCAAGTGCAAAAAACATAATTGATTTTTGCTCTCTGTCACCTTTGCTCCATTACTGCTGTAGGGTCTGGGCATCACCCATGGAACACAGGGTTGATTTTCCCCTCTTTCACACCAGGTGTGGGGAGCAGAGCACCAGGAATTCTGCTGCCAGTTCTTACCCAAGTGACAATCTTGGCCCTTTTTGTTCTTCAATTGTTTTTGTGATCTCAAAGCAAAGATCATTGCTTTTATTTGGTGCTGGGTTACAGATTTAATTAGGAAGAACTGACTAAAGAGGTTTGCTGATTTTTTTTTTTTTTTGTCCTCTTTGGCAGTTTCATAATAAATAATGTAGAAAGAGAAATGCTTTTTGTTATTGTTCTTTTGTGGATACATTGGCAGGTTATAATTTGTTCACAGAACTACACTTGCATGTGGGGAAATCAGGAGATAACGTATCTTCTCCCCTTCAACCAGCTGACTTCAGAAGTTATGAAATAGCAAGTGGTTTTACTTAGGAGTGTTTGTGTTTGCAGAGCTAAAAGAGCTGCTGCATCTCCTGTTTTGTTAGCTGGAAGAAAAGACTTTGGACAGTGGTGTGAAGAGGATGCAAAATTTTTCCTTATAAGTTTTTCTTGCAAATAAGACAGCCTGACAGCTTTCAAATTTCTGGGTCTTTTTAGGAATCCCATTGGTTTTCTCTGATATGGCACATGCTTTATAAGCAGGAACAGATCCTGCACTTAAAGTTTCACATTTTTCTCATAATATTTGGCTTTTGATTTTGACGTCAAAACAGAGTGGGAGTATACACCTGGAGTTACAGAGAAATTCTTACAGCTGCACGGTCAGATTTTGAATTCTGCTACCAAAAGTCTCATTATGAACAAAATCCCACATGCCCTGTGCACCACTGCTTCTGGAAAGGTGTGAATGAGCAGATACTGGATCAGTGCCATGATCAGAGGCTTCTTGCTCAGTCTGTAATTCAGAGGACCATTTTTTTTTCCTTTTTTCTTGATTTTTTTTTTTTTTTTTTTTTTTTTTTTTTTTTTTTTTTTTTTTTTTTTTTTTTTCTTAATCTTAGACTTGTTCAGCTTGGAAGGCTCTGCCAGTAATTTAAACTCCAGCTGGCAAAATCTTTTGGACTCAGGGGAACATTCAAGGCTGTCCTCTCTGCCAGGGTTGGTAGCAGGGAAGGAAGAGACACCAAGAAGAAACTTAACAAATTAACACATAAAAATATGTAAAAATTAAGCAAAGCAGTTCTCTGTATTGGCATCATGCTCAAATTGGGCTTGAAGACTTCAAACATTAATTTTGAGTGCCTCAACATTACTTATATTTTGCAATAATTTATTTTGGCTGTAATTCACAGAAAGAATTCACTATTTCCAGCTTTTGTTCCAACTTAAAGCAAATTTTTGTTGTTTTGGCTGTTAGCAATGATTCAAAACAACTTCTGTCTATACCATCTATGTTTTTCCAGATTCTTAGGTACATACCTAAATGTGAACAGATAAACAGTAATTCCGACTGCAGAAAAGTTGCTCAAGTGGTTCAAGTTAGGTATATGGGTATATCTGGTAATGTTGAAAAACCAAGTATATAAATTATAATATATATCGATTTTAAAATAAGCATTTCTCTTCCATAAAGTACACTAATACTAATCCCAAATTATACAACAAAGAGCATACTAAAATTCTTATCTGGTTATTGCAAAGTTAAACAATGTCTGAAGTTGTGAAGTTTGATGTCCTTGAAAAAATACTAAGTTTCAATATTGCTCCACAGTTTTGAATCCTTGTTTAAGTCACGGTGGAAAAGAAAAAGAAGAAAATGCTGTATAGTAAAAGCATAAAATAAATAAATAGGGACTGAAAAAGTATAGCATCTCTGCAAAGTCATATAGCCCTTCCAAAATCAACTTCATGCATGTTGTTCAATGTAGAAGGAATCGATTAAAACAAACAAAAAAATAGATAGTCTTTGATATGAGCAGCTGTCGGTGAGATAATTTGCTTTCTTGCTGCTAATATGTTCATGCATTTTATTAGGAAAATCTGTCTCATGCCCTGAACCAGAAGGAGGACAAAGGAGATAGCATATTGCATGCATGATGCAAGGAATACAGTAATGCAAAACATCTGGGTGGAGTGGAGGACAGCTCAAACTGGTGTTGTCTATTAAAAAAGCAACCTTCCCTTGGTTTATTAATTTTTTCTTTTCACACAGAAAAAAAAAGAAACAACCAAAAACATGGATATATTTCTCACTGATGAAATGCTGTCAGTTTTTCTTTTTTTTAATCCACTCAAATAAGTTTGCACTCCTGAATGATGTGAGTGAAAAAACTTGCATATAATTGTTTTGACAAAGTGACTTTAGGGTCACTCTAGTTGATTTTAACCAGAGCTGAATTGCACACAATTTCCATGGGAGAAAATCTGGCTGTTTATTGATAAACTCTTAAAAAATATGGGCCCTACTTGTAACACTCTATAAAGATAATATTTATTGATTCAGTTATTAATATAAGCAAACCAAATATGCTTGGTGTTTTTTCAGGTTGGCATAATAAATGTGTACCTATTCTGTCAAGTCATTAGCAGATAATAAGTCATGAATAATAAATATCTACATCCCAGGCATAAATATGTGAACACTTGGGACTTCCAAGCATTTCTTGGAAATCTGGAAGCTGCGTAAGTGGCTGTGAGTAAGTGTACACAATTTCCCAGCAGCTATGAAATAAACTTACCTTTTTTTTCCACAGATTTAAAAAGTTTACCCACATTTCCCTCATTTTTGTCTAGCTCTGTTTAGAGGGTATTAACGTTTTCATACTTGTTCAGGGGGTGATCCTGATGGTCACTCAAAGTGTGGCAGCTGGGGACTGAGTGAGTGTTTGTGTTGGCTGCAAAACCAATTCCATCCACATTAAGGAAGCTGATCCTGTGATTAGAAGGCAGAGATTGATAAAAAATAGCTTTTGAGGAAAACTGATGAATTCTTGGGTAGAGATTTAACGCCTACCACTCAGTAGCACACACTACTTGTGTGCATCCTTTTCCCCAGTCGTGAAGCAAGACTTGTGTGGTTTAAACCAGCCCCATGCAAGCAGAGAGGGGAGGAAAAAATATTTTAACTTAAAATAAATAAATAAAAACCCATTTTATATATATATATATATATATATATATATATATATATATATATATATATGCAGCTAAATCTTCTTTGTAAAGCCACCAAAATTTTTAATTTGTGGTAGGGAAAAAAAAAAAATCTGCTCCTTTTTTTTCTGCTGGCAAAGAACACTTCTAAATATGGCGACGTCATGTTTTCTTGCCCTCACAATTTCCTTTTCACTTTCACTTCTCGCTTAGGAAAGCTGAAATATCATCCCTTTTACCTCATTTTCCTACTCTGTAATTCCAAATGTTCTTCTAGAAATACTGAGCAGTCATCCTCTGAGCAGTCCGTCCTGCTTCAGGGTGAACCAAACGTGTCTCTTGCAAAGGTGGCATTTTCCAAGCTAAGTGTGCGAAACTGAACAAATGTTTGTGTGACCCTGAGTTGCACATGCAGAATTCATATCTGCAGCTATCAAAGGGGCACCTAATTAGCCATGGGTATGTAAAAAAACCTGATTTGTGCACGCATGTTGCTTATGCTTGAGTATAAGCTGTAAAATAATGTAACTGTTTTGATTTCTGTGTGCAAGGGGAAGAGGCTTATTTGAACTATTGCAAGCTAAGCAAGATTTTACTTTGCAAGAAGTTCTAGATGTAGTCCTGTCTTAAGCAGTGAGTCCTTGTAGACACAGACCATTGAATGCATTCTTTGTATGATCAGTCTGATTTAAAAGCTGTATTTTGCTCTTTATTTGCATCCTTATAAGGCTTGTGACTCGCAGTCTCTTAGCAGTTAACAACATTGGTTTAAGACATTCACATCTTCCATCCATCTGCTCCCATGGCCTGTCTGAAGATTACTGACTTGGCAAAACTGGCAGAAGGGAAGATGGTTCCAACCTGGGCTTTTCCTGAGGAAAACCTCTTTTCTGAGCACTCACTTTCTCCAGGAGTTTAAAATCTGCTGACACACCTTGCAGTGTTAGCACACATTTCCTCCTCAGGTAGCATTGAAATGTGGGCTAAAGGGAGTAGACAAGCAGCAAGGCCACCACGTTGTTTTAAAACATCACAATTTGGCTCACTGGAAGGACCTTTCTTTGTGCCTCCTGTTCATCTAGCATAGCAACTCCCTCACCTTTTCCATCATCCAGAGGGTTCAGCACTTTGCCTTTGCATGTTCAACACTCCCATGGTAACATTTATGTGTGTGGAGGAGTTTCAGATGTGCATCTTTGAAGTGTTTTCAAAAGATCAACATCATTTTACTAGTATTAAGTTTATGATCTTACGGTTCAACATTCTCACCTTTCCCCACAATAAATTTCTCCCAGCATAATTTAAAGGCAGGGCAGCAGCAGTGTTTTCTGGTGGCATGCTTGATCCTGCTGCTTGAGCACACTCTCACGGCAGTGAGGATTCCTTTTTGCAGTTTGTAATTATGTGCTGAAAATAAACTAAAGCATTATTTCACTCCCTTTATCCATCTGAGTTGGATGCTGCATCAAGCTTTGAAGAAAACCCACAGCTCTCCTCATTTTTGACATCTTGAAATAAACTTTTATGTCCCCAGATCAGTACCTGGCAGGCTTATGGTCACTCATGTAACACAAGGACTTAATGGGGGTAATTATATAAACCACAAAAATGAAGAATATTGCTTTTTTTTTCCAATTCATCTGGCTTAAGTTAGGTGTTCTGCAGCTTTACAGTATTTTATTGCATGTCATTCAATGCTTTAAAGAACTACCTAAAGACTTTGAACTTTGCACTTATTTTTCAGCGTGGCATTTAGTTTTTGTTGGGGGCACTAAAACAAATGAACTAGAGTAGCTTGTGTACTAACTGTACCTTTCTTTGTTTTGCTTTTTTTTAAAGCTAAAAAAGTCACAACAGAGCCTCCAACCATCGAGCCTGTGACATCCCTGAGAACTGACAGCGTGAAATTGTCTCCTGCTGGAGAGCCTCTCGAGCCTCCCATCTCTGAGACTCCACTCACTGAAGTGCCTGCCACCCAAACAGTTTCTTTGGATGAAACAACCCCAGAGTCTGAAGAAGACACAGAAATGACTACTGATGTGGCTGAGGAGAAAAGGGAGATGGAGGTGCTCATGGAGAACATTCCCTTAACCACCCTTCTACCTCAGACTGTCACTGACAGTGAAATATTCACCTATGACACCCTGGGAAGGACTGAATACGATGTCTCACCCAGGCTAACAGACACCACGGCCCCAGATTTGGAACTGGACCACACTTACTCTGAAGCAGAGTTGCCCGAGGAACAAGGTAGGTCTGAAAGCATTGAGGACGCTTTCTTGACCTCTGTAATTTTTCAGGATAGCACAGCTGTAGCTAAGAGTTCCACTGGTTTTTGGGAAGATGCTGGAATGGGAGATGCACAAAGGCATGATGCTGATAATCAGACTGAGCAAATAGAAGTGGGTCCTCTGAGGCCAGCTACAGATAGCTTCTTACAGACTTCTCGGAGAGAGGCTGCCAGGACAGGGACTTCAGAGTCACTAACAAAAGAGAATATGTCTCACAGTGCCTACCTCACAATTACACCCACAAAAAAATCAATGGAGGCAAAATCTGATGAGAAACTTACAACTGTGGTAATCCCTAAAGCTTGGCTCACTGCTGAGTCTGCAGAGAGGGAGGGCAGTGAGAGCATGCACACCGCTGTGCCTGGCACAGATTCTGGGGTGGCTACTGGTCATGCCCCAGGATCAGAAGTGCCTGCTGCATCAGAGACACTCTTAGATGAGCAAGCAGTAACCACTGGACAGTTTTCTGAAGTGAAAGAGTCAACACCCTGGGTTAAATTTAGCTCTGCGACAGCGTTTGACAGTGAGGCCTCAGCTCAAGGGAGCAGAGAGGACCTGAGGGATGTGCAGCCCACCGTGGCACCTGGAACACCTGTATCCTTTTCTGTGTCAGCTGCTGATCAAACAGAATCTGAGGCCATCTCAGGAAGCACTGATGCCCTGCCAAGTTTTGGGGAAGGCACCATGTCTCTGATCCCCTCATCTCTGCAGACAGAAACATCAGCTGTTTTAGAGGAGCAGGAGGAAACAGAAATGAAGACAACAGATGTGGAGGTCCCTCGTTCCACAGCTGCCATTCCTCCATGTGTTGCAGCAGAATCTGAGGGATGTTCTGCAAGAGAGAAGATCACACAGGCCCCTCCAGGCTCTGGAGCGTGGCTGCCAACAGATAAAGAGGAGGGGTATATGACAGAAGAGTCACCTCACCCTGGAGGAGTGATTGAGTTAGCTACAGAGGATGGCTTCTCTGGAATAGAGCCCACATCATCTCTGGGGCACATGGTAGAATCCACAGTGCGTCCAGGAACTCCAATTTCAGCAGCTACAGATGCAGCTGAGACAAGCAGGGAGCCAGCGGAGACCACAGGGGATGAAGAAATGGTATCAGCTGATTTTGGTCAGAGTAGAGACAGTACAAGTGTATCTCACACGAGCAGCTCCTTGGATTTGGAAATGACCACAGTATCCAAAATACCAGTGGAAGAAAGTAGTGCACCCATAGGGTTTTTTAGCTCCTCAAATGTAACTGTATTGCCAAGTGCTGTGCCCACAGCTGTGGGGGTAACTGAGCATGAAGGAGATGAGACATCAGGGACAAAGGGAACTATTACATTTCCAGGTGTAACAAAGGTAGATACTGCAGTTCCACAGAAGGAATATGATGCTTCCCTAGTTCCAGTTACTGTAGAGAGTGAGGTCTCTAGAGATATGACAATTACTGATCAGACTCCTTTTGATGATGTCTTTCATACAGAAGCAACAGAAACAACTGCAAAACATAAGGTGTTCCCAGAACTCTCCACACTGGACCAAGGTTTGGAACCAAGGACTGCCACGCTTTCTGTGATATCTGCCCACACACATGAACCAGAAATGTCACCAGGATCTGAATGGCCCCAAACAGCAGTTCAGGATGAGACAGGCTCTGCTTATGAGGAGATGTACCCCGCCACAGATGCGTCTGTGCCTGCAGCGACGCTCACAGACCATGGAGGAGTTCCGGCACCTGAGGAAACCAGCACCTGGTTGCACCTCACGGTGACTCCAACAGCTGGAACTGCTCCTGACCAGGATGAGGAGGTCACTGAGGTGATGCCCATAACTGCTGGAACTGAAGCAAAGATACAGGACAGCCCAGGAACCCCCACCAGGGAGGAAGATGATGCAGTGAGCTGGGATTCTGTGCCACCCTCCCATACGATGCCAGCAGGACATTCCACTGTGGAAAGCTTTACTGACCTGACTCTGGGAGCTTCTCCAAGCCAGGCTACGGAAGGTTCAGGAATGACTAGAGAACCTGAGGAAACCGGGCCAGCTGTATTTGCAGCTACTGCAACAGATAAGGCAATAATTCTCAGCAGCATGACAACACCTTCCCTTGGTGCTACAGACAAAATTCAGCCTACATCTGCAACCAAGCCTTTTATCACTCAGAAGTCCCCACGCATCCTTCCTGGGGAGGAAGAGGAGGTAACAAGCCATGACATCATCATAATTGGTGAATCTGTTTCTCCCAGCAAAGCCACTGCTGAGGATGATCTGCCAGGAAAGATGCTGGAGCCAGAAATTGATAAGGAATATTTCACAGCGTCAACTGCCACGGCAGTGGCACGACCTACTGCTCCACCCCAAGTGAAGGAGGCCACACAGGCCTTGCAGCCTCAGGAGGTGTCTCCTTCTACTTCACACCCTGATAATGACATAAGATTGTATGTTATTCAAATCACAGGCAATGACACAGGTAAGATTTTGCCTTTTAGACCCACAGTCCATCAGAGTGGACAGTTTGTCATGACAAACAGGTGTGCTTTAGAATATGCTGGAGATGTTTCTTGGATCACTGAAGGATGCAAAGCACCACTTTTGTCTAGACAGCAACTTACTGAGTATTGGTAGGTCTATTTTTCTGTCCGTTAAAAACCCCTCAGAAATGTATTTCTTATATGCTGTGTGGTAAGAATGATTTCTATGTAAGACTTAATATGAAACTGTTTTATTTCTTTTTAAAAGTCATGATGGCTACAGTCCAGTTCTCTTTTTCACTGTTGTCAAGTCACCAATTTAACTCCAGCTGTCTGTGAAACAAGCATTTTAATTTCACAGCTTCCATTCCATGCATTACTAGTCCTAAACGAAGCACTAGATTATTTTAACATTCCATTGGTCTGTAGCAATTAACAATGCCATGTACAGTGTAGTCAGCTAAAAAATGGTTAAAGCACTCTACTGCCTCCTGTGATTTGGAGGAATGGGCTTTTTTATTTTTTTTTTTATTTTTATAGCATATCATAGCATTTTTAAAATCCGTCTTAGGAAATATGTGCTGCAAATTGATGCAATATTTAATTCTGCCACATTTTTTAGCTGATGGTTCTGTACATGTGTATGTAGCTTCAATTCCATGGGTATCCAGAACAGAAACTTCTAAAGAAGCAATGAACTATTGAGGTTGATGATGAATATGTCTCCATAATGCAAATGTTGAAGGGTCTGCAGTTTTACATGAAAGAATCCTGTCAACTGACTATTATTTAAGATGTCACGGTAAAACATACTTTAAAAGAAAAAGAGCTGGCAAGCAGTACAAAGCAGAAAATTTCTGTTAGGTTCAATGTTTTATTGTGTTTAATTGTCTTATAGTTGTATAATAATTATTTTATTTTTTTTAAGGAACACAGTAAAAAATTGATTTTTTTTTTTTTTGGTCTTATATACCTTAACTACATGCATGTCTTTTGAATGGTTGTGTCTCTTTGGTTCTTGGCTATAACCTCCGTGCCTCTGAAGAACTCATCCAGCAGAATTCATAATTTATGGGAGTCTTTTGGATGTTTTTATCAGGTTTGTTCTTGGTAGGGTTCCATTCAAAAAAACAAAAACCAGTAGTGTTTTTTATCCTTGAGATGTGCCATATCCTGTTTGGACAAGTAATATCTTGGCTTGGTATCTTTTTTAACATTTTGCTTATTATCCTATTTTATGTTTACAGGATGCAAATCTGCACAAGTTATAGCAATATTAGCTTGTCTTCTATTTCAGAAAATGATAGTCCTGAAACTTTTGTTTCTGTGGTATATTATCATTATTTTGTCTTTATATGTTACCAGTGCCTTGAGAGTCTCCATTAAATGATACAAATAATCCAGTAAGTCAGAGCAGAAGGGTAATTTCTGAAGACAAGATTTAACCACATATTAAAACCTTTTATACCTGTGGAAATTCACTTAATTTGACTTAATAATGAGTAGCTGGACTAGGTAATAGTGACCTTGTTTTTCCTATTAGATATTTGAGTTATGCTACACTTTATTTCCTACAGGAGGGTGGGTTGTGCTGGGCAGCTGCATGTTCCAGGTGATGGAAAGAAGTAGGATGGTTTGGAAGGGTGTGGATGTAGGATTTCTCTGCATATACATCAGGAAAAGCCTCATTTTACTTTTTTTTTTTTTTTTTCAGAATACTGTGTTTCATTAAATTAGGATTGGGTTCAAAGTGGATTATCTAAAGGACAGAGTGTGCAGATGCTTTTCATAGCTGCTCTCACTCTGCTTTGGGTGATCAGATCTTTAGGATGAATTTTCTTCAGAAATTTTTGAATTTTGCCTTCTCCATCTTCACAAACTTTCAAAGCTGTGCATGCATTTCCCAGGTATAGATGTGCATATGTGTCAGGGTGTTTGTAAGTAGACAAAAACTTACAAATCCTTAAAAATCTGCCTTTAAGAATTATTTAGTCTGTGAGGAGAGAAGAAAGTTGATTGTCTTGAAATATTATTAAATTCTTCATATGGCACCATCTGTGTTCTCTTTATACACAGAGAGCCTCATTATGTGTCTAGTGCAATTTTAAAAAGGAGTTTTCTTCATTTTTTGGTTTTCGGGCCCTGGCACTGGGAATTCCTCCACTTAGCTATCCACAGGCATCCTCTACCTACTTACCCCTAATTCAGTTAGAACTGCCAAAGATTTATGCTCTCTGATGGTTTGGATTGATTTATTTTATTGCTACAGAAATGAAAAACAACATCTGAAAAATCCTGTCAGACCCAGTTTCCCCTCATTGTTCCTTAGTCCATAAACTTTTCTTTGTGCTGAAGAAAATGCGTATAGGGAGTAATGAAGAGGAATGAATTTGGCAAATATTACCAACATATGCCTTTCACTAGGATGTAGTTTAACTTCTTATTCTATCACCCCTTATTTGAGAATTGATCCACTGTCATAAAGAACTACATAAACTGTACCTCTGACTTTTTATTCTGAACTGATCAGGAAGTGTAAATGCAGTTTACATCTTCACATCTCTGATAAAACAAAGGTTTTTCCTCCTTTGGCTGGTTTTCAAGGTAACATAGTCTATCATTTTTAGATGAAGTTAATCTGTTAGGGTTATAAACAAAGGCCTTCACTGATTTTCACTGAGTGCCAAAAGTGACTCCTAAGAAAGGAGAGCTTGCTTACCAAAGCCCTTCAAGAAATAACAGTTTCAAATTGGAATTATAATAAGAGGTTATATACAGATGGCATTGTCTATAAATGAATGTATTTTCCTTTTTGTGTTTTGCAGAAGTGCTGGAACTATTTATGAGATTATTCTTCCCCCTCATTCTTCACCTCCTTGTTATTCAGCTTTTGCCAGAAGCAACAGTTTAACAGTGAGGCAGGGCTCAGCAGAAATTCAGCACCATGTTTTGTCTCCTATCACTCAATTACAATAAAAACCTTGCTGTTACACAGCTGAATATTGCTCCCTGCAGCTCCATTTGCCATCCACAGCATGGGCACAATAATATTTAAGCTCTCCATGGAGGTGCCATTAGGCTTTGTTAGGCAGGAGAAGTGTTTTACATTCCACGTGGAGGAGAAAGGCTGTGCTAAATGTGGGAATACTTCAGATTTTGAGATATTTTTAGCAGTTTCCATCAAGCAGGACAGGGAGACGGTGGTGGTGGAAGCAGGTCTGGCTCAGGTGAGCTCACCTGTGGCCAAGCACAGGTGGAAGGAGAGGTAGGAAAGATTCCTTGTGCCTTTCTCCTCCCTCTCAAACCCTCACCAGACTGGCACCAACTTCTCTGAAGATCTTTGAAGTCTTTGGGCTGGAATGTGCTGTTGATATATGGAATCTGTTATGGATGTATGGAATTTCAGGGGATATTATTCTTCATTATTACTGCAGGCTGAAGCTACACACAAAAGGTGTAGAGTTAAATTTAGTTAAATAAAGAGGCAGGGATATTTTTCTGTCTCATACACACAACCCTCTTAATATGAAGTAGCACAGTTACAGGAAGGTGCTATTAAATATTATGATTTCTAAGACTTTACATTTATTAGACCAGAAGAATGTTCTCCTAGAGGACTTCTTTTCTTATCCTAGAGTTAAATAGCTTTACTTCTAGCTTTTAAAATGCATGCTTCCAGTCAATGAAAGCCCTCACAAAGGAAGTTTTCTTTTAGATTAAAAAAAAACAAACAAAACAAGGCATGGAAACAGAAGTAATTTGGAGACCTGGTGGAAGGTCAGTCTCAATTTGAATTCTGGAGGACATGTTCTAGGGCTGATAAGAAAGAACACAGAGTTGATAGATAAAACTTTATTTGTGTAGGAATACAGCAGTTTTCATTGAAAAAATGTAAAAACAATCCACACACTCCCATGTGGGCAAACGTGAGTGAGGTGCACAAATTAATCTGGGTAATAAGACTTGTTTTTGCTGACTGCCCATGGGCAGATCTGTTTCAGTTAATAAGGAAAATACCCTCACACATGAGGAAACATCCCTTTTTATGCTACAAAAAGGGCATGTTTCAGAATGGAAGGAGCCTGGGACCTTCATCCACTGGAGTGGAACCAGGAGTTTTTCCCTTGGAATCATGAGAGTGAGGAATCCAGCAGTGTGAGGTGTTACTACATGCACAGCTCCCATGGCATCGGATGGGACACAGGATTTTGTCTTTCTCTATGAGGATGCAGAATTTGACATTTTGTGCCCTGTTGTGTCCTCACAGCTCTGATGTTTCCTAGTGGTGAGGGCTCCTGCTGGTGCTGGAAGGTCATGGATTAGCAGCTGGGAAAGAAAAAAAAACCAACAAACTAAACCTGGAGGAACTTTTCAGCTCATAAAGCTTTTATGAGCTGAAAAATGCTTGTGGGGGTGTTGTTTAACAGTGGTTGAGGGGATGCTGGAAACATAACTCCTGTCTGAATCAGAAGTAATTTGCACACCTGTGTTTTTTGGAGACATTTAAAAGTCTTTATTTACTGAATATGTTTCAAAGTGTTTGTTGGACCCTGGGACTCACACCAGCTCTGTCTGGTTTCTTGTCCCCTCTAGCTTTGAAGAGAACAAAATTGCAGGAACTTGTGCTTTGTGGATGTGGAATTTTATGGAAAGAGGTTACAAACCTTTGTGTTTCAACATGTAATTCTCTGACATGCATATTTCTGTCTTAGCAGTGTGAGAGGGCATGTGAAATTTGAATGAAATGCGGGATGGTAATGAGTCATAGTCATAAACCTTAACAAAGGAGGCAGAATAGAGTCTTTTCAGGTCCATCTTAGGCCTTGCCTTAAAATTCATTTAATCTTCTTGTCTTCACAGCTCCTTCTGGAGGGCTGTCAAAGATCGTCATGGCACTGTTTAAGCCTGATTCTAATATCTAGTGTGAATTGCTCCTTGGCCAGTTTATACCCGTGTTTATTCTTGCCAGCATTGTCTTTAGCCTGAATAGATCTTTTTT